AGAGAGAGAGAGAGAGAGAGAGAGAGAGAGAGAGAGAGAGAGAGAGAGAGAGAGAGAGAGATGATTTTGGTCAGATCTGAGATCCCGTCTTAGATCTGGTCCTGGCTAGATCTCAGATCTGTTCTTACGCAGATCTAAGTAACTTAACAGTTTAAATTTTATTTTTTTTAATTATTATTATTATTATTTTTAGAAAAACAGAACCTCTCGATTCTGGCTCCTGCCATTCTGGGGAGCAACAGTTCGGTTCCTATTCCCCCGGCAAGTCAAATATGAATACAATGAAAACACACGCACGCTCCTCCCAATTCTGGCTGAGAGGCCCGAGTGGACGGCATTGATTACTTCCCTAGAGAAGGATGTACCACCCCTCACCCCTGCCTAAGTTAGCCTAATTCCTCTACCTTCTGATCCTCTCAGTCGCCTGGCTCCTAGCTCCTCTATTACATCTTCGACGCCACACGGGCCCTACCGGACCCGACTTAGGGCCAGAGGGACACAGTAGGGCCTAAAGGCCCGACCTTGGGGGTACTACAGGCCGTAAAGGCCTCATCTTGGACCAGACCCGACGGGCAGGCCCAAACCACATTACCGTTTGGGCCTGGCGGCGCTCTTGAGGCTGCCGCCCGCCGGTTGAGGCTGAACCGTCAATCTTGACGGTTCAGGACACGGCCAGGCCTCGCAGCATAGAGCCTGGCCTCTGCCCCACCGGTATAAAGGTACCGGTCCAGCCTCATTCCGACATCGAACCACCGATTCTACGCGGTGCGTTATGGTTAGCGCCAGAGCGCTAGCGCTATTCTTAGCGCAGGAGTACGAGGAGCAGCGGCAGCAGCATTAGCGCAGCAGCGGCAGCGAGCGGAGCAGCAGCAGCGGCGACTGAGCATATCGGCGGCCATAGCCGCCTGAGGTATCGGGAGCCGGGGGTTCTCTCCTCCCTCCCGTCGCCAGTCCCCTCTCTCTCTCTCTCTCCTCTTCGACTCCCTTCTTCTTCTTCTTCTTCTTCTTCTTCTTCTTCTTCTTCTTCTTCTTCTTCTTCTTCAGACTTCATCTTCTTCTTCTTCTTCTTCTTCTTCTTCTTCTTCTTCTTCTTCTTCTTCTTCTTCTTCAGATTGGAGACTTATACTAGTTGGACAGAGATCAGTGTTGGACTTCGGTAGTAAGAGGCTGTGGTACTTACCGGGTTTGAGACTTGGAGATTGTTGGGGATGATACTCGGCTGCATCACAGATTGGACACCGGCTACATTAGGACTCTGTATCCCCGACATTGGTGACTTATTGTCCTCGACATTTGATCTTGTTCGATGACATTTTGGATTACCATATCGGTGACCTACTGGTTTCTATCTCGGTGACATCTGGTGCTACCTACATCTCCCACCTCCTTCGTCTCTCCTCCCACCTTCATCTGTGTATGTGTGTACGGGGCTGAGCATCGTCTATGTATGGCTCAGACCCCACCATCTCACGATTGTATGTGTGTGGAGTGATATCTATGCGAGTCAGTCTATGTGAGTCAGTCCGTTTATCAGACTTCCGCTGCATACATGCTCATCCTATATTGGTTGATCTTTGGTTCTGCCCCATACTCGTTGACACTTTCACGAGTATGTAACATCCTCTCAGCTGAGTGCTGTCGGATAAACCTGAATGCTAGAGCTGATGTCCAGGGCTGGCATCTAAGGGTTTGCTTGCTCTGCCGGGTAATGTAAAAAACTTATCTGAACAGCGGTTTATACCTTTTGCCTTCTCTTAAACCCTAAACCCTAAGCTTCTCGGGACGTTTGTTGTATGCAGTTTATTTCTCGAGTGTTTCTCTTGGAAGGCGTTATTCCTAGTCCTTCATTGATTTACCTGTTCCTAGGTTCTAAAAATGTAAAACAGGTGCTGTTCTGAAGCTCAAAAACCCTATATCCTGAACCCTCTTCCTCTCTCTAGCTTGGTGTGAGCCCTTCCTTTCTTTCCGATGACTGTTTTTACTACTACTTTCCTCTAAATTTCCCTTTTTGAGAACACGCCCGCGCTCCTCCCCCTTCTGGTGTGGGAGGCCCGAGGGGCGGCATTGATTGCTTCCATCAGGAAGGATATACCCCCCCTCACCCCTGCCTAAGTTAGCCTGTGCTACTTTTCTCCTATCTTTTACACATGAATATGAATTTGAAAGTCTAACTTCAAAGTTCAAACTTCTGTTTCTTTCTGATTTTCGTACTCTTTTCTGAAGTGTCTTGGGATTGGTCTGTTGAGAACTGGTTTCAACTTCCTAGCGTTGTGTGAGCCTTTGTGAATGTCTGTGTGAGTCGGAAGCTGTCAAGTTGTGAATAGTGAAAGACAGTAAGTACTAAGTTTCAACCCCTTACTCGCAACTGCCATTGATTGTGTTCATTAAACTGACTTCATTTGTGTTTAGTTACTTTAGTACTGTTTATTACTGCTGTACTAAGTTTAGTACTGTTTAGTACTGTTTAGTACTGTTTCGTACTGTTTAGTGCTAATGTTATATTTATTTTTCTCCCGGTCCGGACATTTTTTGTGTCTGGTGTACCGGTCTGGACAGTTCGGGTCCGGTCCTGTCCGGTTGTCAGGTGCCTGTCCGGATTACCAGAAGTCTGGACCAGTCCAGACAAATTTTTGGGCCTCGGTCCAGACATGTCCGGCTCTGGGTCCGCGGTTGTTATGCATTTTTTCTTCTCTTTTCTTTTTATGCTCTTTTTTATGTTTTTTTCTCCTGTAGAGAGTGAGTGCATATGGTCGTAGATATGCTCGTAGACTTCCCTGACCGTATTTTGAGAAGTTCTGTTTTGACTTGGCCCCTTCCTCCCGGGGGCCAGCTCTCACACAGTTCTTACATTATCCTTAGTTATATCAGTTCTGGGATTCTTCGGTTTGTTTTCTTTGTGATATCATAATGATGATTTTGTTTATACTAGTCTAGAATCTAGATTATGATGCACAGCATGGGAGGGTGGCATTTTTGTCAAAGCTGGAGACATTAGCGGGGTCAGCGGTCCTCAAATTCCACAGTTTTGCCTGCTCTCTTTCATGGCGGTGCTGGGCAGTGGTCCTCATCTTCCAAAGTTTTGCCTGCTCTCTTTCATGGCTGTGCTCTTTATGCTTGCGGGTGATAAGTAACCAGACCGGCACCTCCCCAGAATAAAAAGGGGGCTGTGTGTTGTGTAAAAAAAAAGAAAAAAACTAACTTAAAAAATTTAAACACAAGCCACAAAGGAGCGTTAGCTGTAGTTTGAGAATCTGTTCGATTTCAGATAGGTGATCGTAGGCGCCAGTCGTTCCCAGACTTCTTCAAGATTGGTTTTCTCTTCCCTCAAGGTTGAGCTGGAGATTTACAAGTTTGACTTGGGCATGTGGAATTTGATGCTAGACCTCATGCCTTGCAGACTGCTCAGCCATCCGATCGCGGTGCGCCTGCACTTCTCTGTGGTGCCTGTTCTCTTCCTGGAGCACGCGCTCCCTTAAGATCTGAAACTGCTCCTCCCTTTTCTCCATTTTCGCCTCTAACTTTTGCCTGATGCTCGCAATAGGATCTGTCATGACAAAAATTTGCACTAATAAATATATATATATATCGTCAAATAGAACTGCCCGGTAAACCGTAGGCAGAGAGGGAGAAGAGGACAACAAACGAGGGGCTGTGACAAACTGTTTCGTCGGAGTTTCACCGACTAAATATCCATATATTTTTACTGTTATATAAACAAGTGGACCCAGGGCGGCGAAGCCGTGCCCCAGTCCTGTCGATACATGGCACGAAGCGTGGCAATGTCGGTCTGTGTGTGTGTGTGTGTGTGTGTGTGTGTGTGTGTGTGTGTGTATGATGAGAAAAATCAGAAAGAATCTTCAGCCAGAACATGGAAATATACACTGCCTCACTTTTTTTTACTCTTTTTTTTTTTCGCGTGTGCATCAACTGAGCAGCCTGGCAATCTGCAAAATGAGTAGGAATCTTCCACAAGAACATTGGGAGATACACCGCGACGGACACTGTCAGATACATTGAAAAGAAATCCCGGTGTGAGTATGGACTAAAGAGCTGTCAGATGCAAATGTCGCCGAGGGAGGGAGGGAGGGAGGGAGGGAGAGAAGGAGGGAGGGAGGGAGGGAGAGAGAGAGAG